ACCTCTCCACTCTCACCTACCTTCCCCAGCTCAACTCGTTCTCTATCGGTCTTCCCGGATCGCCAGATAACAAGGCTGCCCTCGAAGTCGCCAAATTTCTTGGGACCAAGCATCATGTCATGACATTCACCATCGAAGACGGCCTCAACGCTCTTTCGGATGTTATCTACCATCTTGAGACCTATGATGTCACCACCATTCGAGCCTCTACTCCCATGTATCTGCTCTCACGTAAGATCAAGGCTATGGGCATCAAGATGGTGTTGAGTGGCGAGGGCAGTGACGAGATCTTTGGCGGATACTTGTACTTCCACGCTGCTCCTGATAAAAAGGCTTTCCACGAGGAGACTGTTCGTCGCATTAAGAACCTACACTACGCCGACTGCCTGCGTGCCAACAAGTCTACTTCTGCTTGGGGTCTGGAGGCCCGAGTTCCCTTCCTTGATAAGGAGGTACGTATGGCACGCTGAAATTTGACGTTCAAGAAGGACGGTGAGCTGACAATAGTTTGATAGTTCCTCGAGACAGCTATGAACATTGATCCTCAGGACAAGATGATCACCAAGGACCACATGGAGAAATACATTCTTCGAAAGGCCTTTGACACTTCAGATGAGCCTGGTACTGCTCCCTACCTGCCTGAAAACATTCTCTGGCGACAAAAGGAGCAGTTCTCTGACGGTGTCGGCTATGGTTGGATCGATGCCCTAAAGGACCACGCTGAGCTGCATGTTACGGATGAGATGATGAAGAACCCTAAAACTGAATGGGGCACTGATATCCCTGACACCAAGGAGGCGTAAGTCGAAGCTATGATACTGAAATTGAAGATATGCTAACACAGACCGCAGTTACTGGTATCGGTTGATGTTTGACGAGCATTTCCCTCCTTCGTGTGCGTCGACCGTTCTGCGCTGGACGCCGACATGGTCTAAGCAGACTGACCCCAGTGGAAGGTGTGTATAGTATTTTTGATTGACAAGACATTCGTGACTAATGGGTTTTCAGAGCCATTTCCACTCACAACGAGAAGTATGAGAACGCTGCATAAATGGTGATGTCCTCGCAATTACCTGCGAGGCAACAGGGACATATACGGGATATGCAGATTTGAAGGACTACAAAAAGTTGCGTGATCGGTCAGTGTTTGAGCATTTGAACTAGTTTTTTGGCCGCTGGTGAAATATCTAGATATGGTAGACAAGCTAGGGCATGGATAGAAGATATACAGTTACATTACAACACTCGTACGCAAACCGTAATAACTAAAAGCAAGGCAACAAGGACAAAGTTGAATGCACTGCGCCATTTGTAGACTCTTGTTCGTTCAGGATTTACTGCATCGATGAGGTTCATGTGTATCAACTCCGAGGTGGCGTTGATACCAATCTTAACACCAAGCAGGTTGTAATCCTTGACAAGCGCAAAAACTACTCTCGTTTGAATTACGTCCCCTTTTAAGAGACTGAATGAAAGCAGTGCTCAGTACGACAAATGCAGAGCATCATGTTCAGCACTTATGAACACAGAAAACGAGTAGCACATCATAATATTTGACCTGACAAGGATATATCTAAAACAAGCTTGTCGGGCGCAATACCATGACATACTGGGATTTGCTACGGGTGTTTGGCCATTGGCAAATACGCCCTGCCTGGAGCTGTGAGAACGCAAGCTTGGCAAGCTACCGTGGTGATTCTAGTTATCTTGATCGACTTGTAGGGACACTGGTCATTTGACCACTCAATCGAGGCTTGTACTCAACATCTTGAGTTTGTCGCTATTTCTGGATATGGTAATATAAGCCCCTGAGACGACAGCAGTTCAAGTCGTATCAGTTGACAGCCGATGTCCTCCTCAGCTGACATCGAGGGACAAGGCTGGAACACTCATCAATTCATCTCATTCACCCTCCATTTCGACCCCCACCCCTTTGGGTCAAAAAGGAGCAGATTCTGTCTCAAGTCGGATATGGTGTGGCATGGACACTGGGCTCAGGCTGGGGCCACACCCGAACATGCGACGAGTGACAGCGCCTTAGTTGGCGCAATACCGTCCACGTGGGCCATTGTTGGGGTGCCTGGCGCAAAGTCACGATGGCACTGAGAACGCCGCCGCGGGGAAGAGGAAATGAGAAGATGGCGGAACTGAAAGAGTGGCCATTTTGTACAGGACCCAAACACGGTTGCCGCGTCCCCCAGGCGCGTGTGCGTGTCTGAACGTATATTTCGGCTTTCACAGCTGGCTTAATAATGGGATCGTCGTTATTGTGTACACGAGCATGGATGGTGTCTGTGAGTCATGGCTTTCCCGCAGAGAAACCCTGAACGTCTGGAGTTTGCGTCTGGAGACGACTCTACCAGTGGGCGGTGGACGCTGCGCTTGACCCGTCAATCTTTATTTGGTGCGGTTTGTCTCGCGAAGCCTCTTGGAGAAGTTGGAGGAGCGCATGAACAACTAATCCGCCATGGCCGCCGTGGCGGCGCTGCATGATCAAGGTGATGCATCCGGCCTAGCGGTTTGAGCTGTTGGCGAAATACCAGCGGACCCGACGGGACCATCATGTTAGGACGAAGACAGAGAGATGGATGGATGCCTTCTTACAAGTTGCCATCAGCAGTCGAGCTGGTGCAAAAGCACGGAGTAGAAGGCGCAGGAATATGCAAGCCGTCCAATGTCCACAGCAGATGTGCTTGTCAGCTACTGTGGCCCACTCCATGCAACTACCATGATTGTAGCCGTGAAATTTATACAGAAAAGACTGCTGAGACGGACAAGGATACAACTACAAGATCATGTATAATTTGACCGGCGATTTCTTGTCCACACTTTCCGACCATTGATTCCCCGTTTCCTCTATCCGTGTTGCTTGCCCCAACATTGTTGGTCTGGCAAAGTGGGTCTGAAGCACACAGCCACCCAATCAGCTGCTGTCGCACTTGACCCGACAATTTCCCTATGTCCGCTGGGGTCCCGAAAACTTCCCACCTCTCGCCAGCTCTGGCCCTTCATCTCCTTGCCCATTGCAACTCACGTCACAACATCATCGCTCTCCTCCATCACTCTCCCAGATACCAATTCTTTTCTTTACCTCCTCGCTCCCTCCATACCTCCAGTCAAGATGTCTGTTCCCGCCTTTTCCGACATTGCCAAGCCGGCCAACGATGTATGCGTTTATTCCCCCGGTTCCTGCCATGGCCGTCTGCTCCTCGGCATACGTTGTACTGGACTCAATGGCTTTTTTTTATCGAGCTCAACAACTCGACCCAATGCCATGATATTTGCACAGAGAGCATACTGCTAACATTGCTTTTTCTTGTAGCTCCTTAACAAGGACTTCTACCACCTGTCAGCCACCACCTTCGAGTTCAAGGACACTGCCCCCAACGGCGTCGCTTTCAAGGTCACTGGCAAGTCCAGCCACGAGAAGGCCACCTCTGCGGCTGTAAGTATTGCGTCCCCGTTCAATCCAACTTGGAACGGCTGCTTCTCGCTAGGAAGCAGGCATCAGGTGTCAGGTCTTGCGCCGTGACAAATGCTGACGTTGCAACAGATTGAGGGAAAATACACCGACAAGCCTTCTGGTAAAACTCCCCGCCCCAAGTCTCCCCGTCGTCCCGGTATACGACGAGATGGCTCCCTCCCTGTCGTTTCTGTATCACGCATTCTCGGGTCCGCCGCCTGCTGGCCGCTCGAGTTCGCTGCTACCATCCAACCCGGCTACGCTCAGCTGCTAACGAGGTATACGCGTACAGGCCTCACCCTGACCCAGACCTGGAACACGGCCAACGCCCTCGACACCAAGCTCGAGGTCAACGACACCCTCGCCAAGGGCCTCAAGCTCGAGGGTCTCTTCAACTTCCTGCCCGCCACCGCCGGCAAGGGCGCCAAGTTCAACCTCTTCTTCAAACAGCCCGGTTTCCACGGCCGTGCCTTCTTTGACCTGCTCAAGGGCCCTGTTGCCAACGTCGATGCCGTTGTCGGCCACGAGGGCTTCCTCGCCGGTGCCTCTGCTGGCTACGACGTCAACAAGGCTGCCGTCACTGCCTACAGCGCTGCGGTTGGGTACGCTGCTCCCCAGTACAGCGCTGCCGTCACTGCCACCGACAACCTGAGCGTCTTTGCTGCTTCCTACTACCACAAGGTCAACAGCCAGGTGGAGGCTGGTGCCAAGGCTACCTGGAACTCCAAGACTGGCAACGCTGTCGGCCTTGAGGTCGCCAGCAAGTACCGCATTGACCCCGTCTCTTTTGCCAAGGTTCGAACTTGCTACGCACCAAAGTCATGGTACCTCGGATAGCTGACAATTTGTGCAGGTCAAGATTAACGATCGCGGTATTGCCGCCCTCGCTTACAACGTCCTCCTCCGTGAGGGTGTTACCCTGGGTCTTGGTGGTTCTTTCGACACCCAGAAGCTTGACCAGGCCACCCACAAGGTAGGACTTGTTCATTTGATACCTTGTTCATGGATAAAAAAAACAAACGAAACCCCCTGTTGCTAACAATGTCAATAGCTCGGTGCTAGCTTCACTTTCGAGGGTTAAAAAGCTCATAATCACCCCGAAAAAACAACCTCTCATCTAGCAGCTCCCGACATGTGCTACTAGATCAAAAATATCTATCCTCAGATTGAAGCTGCAAAGGGCACGCTTTTTGTATCGTACTAGAAATGTTGCATCGGGGGTTAAGTGGCTTCCGTGTAGATATAGGAGTGAGACGAAAATCTAAATAATGAACAATTCTCACGACACATGTTTTGGCCAAAGTAGGAGGTGAATGTGCTTGAGGTCTAAATTTACCGTACCATACTCTGATGTGTTGTCCAATGCCCCAACAGCCCTATATACAAAGCCATGTATGCCGCCGTGATTGGCCCCTCACCTAACTCTCCGTGTTTCTTGACCCTGGAGCAGCAACACGATAGTATAGTATATATACCGCGGCCATGAACCATGCTGCCAGCAGCAACAGCAGTCAACAAGGCCCCCGTGCCCAACCCGTCACACGCCGTCCCTGTTCCTCCTCCCCAGCCGCATAAACTGCAAGTAAACAAGGGGCGCCACCATGGTCGCCGCCAGGATGCCCATGATGATGAAGAAGTGCCCCGCCAGACTGGTCTGCGGCTCAAACTCGACGTCGTCGTCGCCCAGGGCCCGGCGGCGCTCGTACCGCCGCTCGTCCTGCCGCTGGTGCGTCCGCGCGTGAGCCCGCCTGTCAAAGTGCGGCACGTCGTCGTCGGGCCTGCCCGCGCCGAAGGGGCTGGACCCGGGGCCCATGCCGCCCGGCGCCTGGTGGAAGTGCTTCCACGGGTCTCCCCGCGCCGACGAGGCGGTAGAGGTAGCGGTAGACTCCTCGTGGGCCTGGCGCCTCTTGTCGGCGTGCGCGCCCCAGCCGCCGCTCCTGTAGAAGCTCGGCGGGCGGCC